TCCTTTTTTAAAAAAGAAAAAAAATAGGGGTGGGACATTTCACGAGTGGTTTGTCTGCATACGAGTACATACCTTTGGACAGGCGGAAACTAAAGGGTGAGAACTGTGTATGTGAGAAAACACAGCTTGGTCTTATGTCAGATCCAGCTACCCTTAGCTTGAACTACTCTCTGGTTTCTGACAGGTTAGAGTAGTCTCCAAAACATTAACTAATCCTTTGGGAAAATTCCTGGGTAGCCTCCCAGTATGTACTTGTGGGAGCTCTGTAGAGCTCTAGCCGGCTGTGCTGGGAACCTCTTGGACTGAGGGACGTAGCTACTCACTCCTGTTGAGAGTAGCAGAAAACCAAAACAGAATAAAACCAGCATCCAGGACAGGGTTGGTTTTTGGTTTTGTTTTGTTTTTCTGTTTGTTTCTCGGGTGAATGTGAAACAAAGTCATAGCCAGAAATTATCTCAGAATGAAATTGTTTTTCTTCAGGAAGAGTCTATCCAGTCCTGTTACGCTATGGTTAAGTTGTTTTCCGTCTTGCCATGCCTACATCAAGGAATTAATTACATCTTTCATTGCCTTGTGAGGGATTCGTTTACTTTTTGATTCTATTTTCCCATCTTTCTGTATGCTTAGTTCTTCGGCACTGTAATCAGAGTTTTTTTATTTCATCTTCACTTGGAAGATCTTAACCTCTAGCTGTCTTTCCCTCCTTCTCTCTACACCCTCTTTTCTCCACAGGCCTTTTAGACATGACTTCCAGAAGTCTTTCCTTTTGGCTTCATAGTTTTCACACAGCTTTCACGCTGCGTGATAATTTGTTAGGTTGCTGGGGCATTCTGTGAGCTCATTTCAGCTCTGGGCATCTTCATCGCTATTATTTTTGCTGCTGCTAACTCTGGGAATGCCAAATGTGATCCACAGGTCACTTCACTGGGTACAAAGCCTTTGTATGCAGCTGAAAAAGACAGGTATCTGTTTCTTAATCGTGCACAGAAACAGCTGATCATGGTAGCTAGAGAGTCTCTTCTGTGCCTCCGAGACTGGGAGAAATGTTCAGTCCTCAGGCAAGCAAGGTCTATCAGACAGATTTCAAGGTGGCCAAGGTCTTGGTAGCCAGCAAGGCATATAACCAAGCATGCCAGATGCTAGTTGTCTCCCCTTGCCCTTCTTTTACCCCCCAAGGCAGAAGGAAGAGGTGCTGTGTTACCAAGTGGGCCCCTGGGGAGCAACGGAGTGCAACTACAGAGGCACCAAACCCTGGAGGCCTGGGAATGTGAGGCGGGGCTGAGGAGCTTTTCCTCTTGCTTGTGCTGGATGGGTGGTCCTGGCTGGGTGTTTTGCCCTCTCGCATTGCCTCAGATTTGGCCAGTTGCATGAGTTCCACTTGAGCATGAATAAAGCAGTATCACATTACTTCTGCTAGTTATACAAATACTCCATTACAAATGCACTCTGAGACAATCCCAACTTGCCTGATGACATCCATTAAGAGGACTTCCCAAATACCTCAGGAGCCCCAGCTATAAATTCCATTCCATTTTGTGCCACAAAAAAGACCTACACTGGAGACAGGAGTTTTTCTCCATGTAATAGAATTCACTGAAGGAAGGTCAGAACTTTTTCGCTAGTGTAGTACTCAAATGTTGTTTTTCTTTTGTAGCCCTCAATAGTTAGGGTAACCGTGAAAGTTCTATGAAATACTGGTTATTTTTTTGATTCAACTTCTCATGTTAAAATAAATCTGCAAAATTCTAGGAATGGGTGTAAGACTCTTGTTCTAAAGCTAACTTCATCATGCTGGTTTGTATTCAACCAACGCAGGATGCAATGGGATCACAGCAGAAAAAAGGCAGGGCACGCTGCCCACACTGCCCTGTCCTCAGCATGTGTACGTGCACAGAGATACTGGACACGGAGTCTGAAATGTCCTCTCAGTGGGCTGACTTTATAGTTTTTCTCTATCTGGGAATTTCTTCAGTGGTGCTGATGCTGAGCCCCACTTGCCACTAATCCACTGTTGCCCCTGGGGTAACACTAGAAAACACTGCAGGACTTGGGGCAAGTCCCATTATTTTATTCTCTTGGTTTCTATGTTTTTGTCATTGCCATGATGCAGAGGGGTTTTAGTTTGAGGTCAGTGATCTGTAGCCTCCACTCCTGCATCTAGTTTGTTACGTGCATTGTCTCTGCCCAGGTGTTTAATAATTGTCTGGTTGACTAAGAAGCACCAAAGAGGAAGAAAAAAAAAAAAAAAGCAGCAGTTTTTTTTTTTTTTTGTCTTCTCTACCATTAGAAATAATTTTCTGTCTATCTGTATTATTTTTGATAAGCTGAAAGTTTAAAAAAAACCCACAGTCCCACGGTGGGATTACTAATTTCCTATTTAAACTTCGGCCTTGTCTGGTGTGTGAAATAAGGAATTACATTTTATCTTAAAGATAGGTATATCGGTTGCACTAAACTGGGTTAATTTTAGCCTGATTTACTGGCAGATGCTTGTCTCAGCTGCAGCTTGTGGCAGAGAGAGAACAGGTTGTACTCTACAAGCTGACCTTTTGAAAAGGTATAGCAAATAGTCATTTGAGGGAGGAGTGGTTGCTGTCTTAGGGATAGTCTAGAAAAAACAAGGTTCCTGCCCTCCTGCCCCAGACTTGTTGCTTGGTGTGAGTTAGCTGAAATCAGCTATTAGCTTTCCTTCTCTTTATTTAATTTCCCAATTATATCCTTCTGACAATGAGCAACAGGTACCAGAAAGAAGAGTTTTCTTTCTGTTTGAGGTAAGTTGAACTGGAACACGGATGCAGGAGAAAGAAGTCTAAACCCTCCCTGAAAGAGATGTTTTCTGTAACACTTTGCAGCTGCTCAGGAGCCTGACGTAGCCCCTGCTCTGCATCTGCCCCATGGTGATTGGGGAAGCCACCCCTACGAATAAGGGGTCAGTGCAAGCTATCATTGCAGTCGCCTTACTGCTCTCTCATGGCTGTGGCATGGACTGTGCTTATGTCACTGCAACCAGGAGACTCCTCAGAGCAGCATTGTTGCTTTCTTTGAAATAAAGTCCCAGAAAACATCCAGAATGATTTATTGAGAACTTTTTTTCCACCTGCAGCATGAAGGAGGAGTGGTTTTTTTTTTTTCAGTGTCTGCAGTGCACAGTACCAAATATTAGTCTGAAAAAGCAGCTGTAAAAGTTTGGCTTCTGCTTGAGATGTGCTTTTATCTGGAATGACCTTTAATACCTTACGCAGAGTTAATGGTTGTTTAGCTGAACTGGTCTCTCTGAAACCTTATGATCGTGCTGTTCAAACAACAGCTGCAATGGCCAGAAGGCCCTTCAATTCCAATTTGTGTTTGCATGCGTATCTTTTTAATTGCTACATCTATTAAAAAGGTATCATTTCAGGGCAGCAGCAGAAGATTTTGCTTTTACTGGGTGAACCTGAAGCTGGTCATCCAGGGACAAGATGTACAGCTGAGCTGCTGCAGTCTTCTTCTGTAAGGAGAAAATTGCAGATTAAATGCTGTGTCTGACCTAATCCACCACTGCAGTCCTCTTGCTGGTCTTCATCTGGACTTTCAGCTGAATTCTGCAGCAAGAGAACATGCACCTGTTTCTTACGCACACATATACATGTGTGCGCATGCATGCTCATTTGTGCACGCTTTCTCTCTTTCTCTCTTAATATGATAGTAACTTTAAAAAGTGCACACATTCATTAAAAGGATTCTTTTTAGCCCTGTTACAGTGTGGTTTAATCAAGCAGGAATTTAGAGATGAGGCCATGTCTTTTGGCTCCTGGACAAATTCTAAGCTGGTAGGGTTTGGTTGAATTCCTTTTGTAATAGTTTTCTTGATTTGTTTTGTTTTAATTAATTTTGGTCTGCTTTAAATCTAAGTTTCATGTTTTCACAGGCCTATTTCCGGACAGTAGAACTTGTTCAGGAGCCTATTCCTGGCTCACCAGGTCTGAGTTTCTACTTTAGAATCAATGGCCGACCCATTTTCCTCAAGGGCTCGAACTGGATTCCAGTCGATTCTTTCCAGGACAGAGTGACTTACAACAGGTAAGCCACATTTGATGTTCTCTGAGGAGAAACAATCATGTTTTCCTCCTCCTGACTCTCTGTCCACCCTCTATCAAAGGCTGGCATTGGGGGATGGAACTCCTTTCAAGGTAGGACACAAATTGTTGAGGGTTGGAAGCCTCAGAATTAGGGCTTAATTAATATTAATGGGTTTGGGTGATGTTCATGGTATGTAAGTGCAATAACTGATCGGAAGGTGATGATTTGCTGTCCACAGGTTACTGGCCTTTTGGGTAGTTTTTAGGGATGATCCTCAGGCTGTCTGATCCTATTGCCTGGGACATGTTCAGTGGTACTCAGAGGAAGTGCACTTCAGCCATGTCCTAACCCATCTCATGCAGGGACACGTAAGTGCATAGTAGCCTCTCTCCCCTTGTCCACCTCTGGTCCAGGCTTCTTGGATTTCAATGACACAGCACCCCAGAGAGGCAGGTGGGATGGAGGCCATGCTGTACTTTGACTAAACTTCTTCAGTCGGGGAACTGGGACAACAGGCCATGCTGCAGTGTCCATTCACATGCAATTTAGAGGCTACTGGCATAATTAAGGAAAAATTAATGGAGCCTAAATCGCTTAAAATGAGATTCAGAGTCTCAGTCTTTCTCTTCCTCCTCTCACTCACCCCGTCCTTCTCACTATGCATTGTGGAACTTGGGGAAAAGAATATAGATTTCTGAATGTGTTTAAAAGAGGATTTGAATTCAAGTGATTGATATTTAAAGCAAGTTATATCTAAGGAGAAAAGAGCAACCTGATTAATAAAATATAGTATTTCTAAATCTGGTCCTGCCAATACTTCTGTGTCACTCCATCCATTTCATAAGAGTTAACAGGACCAAGTAAATTTTTCTGCACAAAAAATTGCTTTTTGAGGGCTCTGTCCAGACATGCAGGCTTAGAAGGTATGAAATTAGTCTGGTTTCTATCAGAGTTGTAAGTCTTAGATTGCCTGCTAATGATGAATGTTTGGGGGGTTTTTTTGGTATAACCTTAGAAACTCCTAAGTGATACAGTTTCACAAAACTTGTATAAATCTTCTTTTTGTATTTGACAGATTATGGCTACTCTTGAAGTCTGCAGCAGATGCTAACATGAATGCACTTCGGGTTTGGGGAGGAGGAGTGTATGAACAAGATGAATTTTATGATATTTGCGATGAACTAGGAATAATGGTAAAACCAATAAAAGCAGAATACTTATTTTAAAACTGACAAGAAGTTGTAAATACAAATCAACTCGAAATTAACAAAATAAGATAATAAATAACTTCTAGCCATCTTTCCATGACATGATAGAGTACCAACCTGAGAAGTCAGGTCAACCCGATTTTTTTCCTTAAATTTCTTTTTATTTTGAGTGGTTCCTGATTACTGAGGCTGTCTGTTGAAACTGGAATGATATTTTGGAGACTTTATGTTAGAACCCCAGCTTGTATTTTCTCCTGTAACTAAGGCTGTGACTCTGTCCCTTCCTTTTCTCCCCACTGTCTTTTTTTCCCCCCTCTCTCTTACATTTCCCCAAATCAGAGCAACAGGACTGTGGCTTTAACTTGCTGTCTTCTATCTCTGTTCAGAGAAAAGTCTCATCTTTATGTACTGTACCTCTCTTCCACTTCAACATTTCCCACTGTCTTGGGAAAGAACAAGAGAAGAACTGAGTGGCTGTGGGACTGGTACTAGTGATGTCACTTACCGCAAGAAGAAGATGTTTGCACTGTAATGATGAGCACGACAGAAGAACTGCTGAGGACTGTAGGCATCAACGGGGACTTGCAACACACAAATAGTTGTGAAACAAGTTGTGCACAGGAAGGGGGGTTATTCACACGATCAAATGATATTTTTTTTCCACAGCAACCAGTCTGTGGGGCCCTGTAGCTGTTTTTAGGGCTTACTCATGTGAGAATAGCCCTGCTGAAGAATCAGAGTGCTTAAGTATATGCCCCAGATTGCAAAGGCCTTGAAATCTGACCTCAATGAGGATTTAAGGCCACGTTTGAGTTTTGCGCTTTCAGCCACCTCTGAGTTATCTAAAGAAGGTAGTCATACTTTTCTCTGCTGTGGAAACGTGTTTTATTTCTTTGAGAAGTATTTTTTCCTTTATAACAATAGCTGAAAAGGTTCGGAGGTTTTTTTTGGCTCAAACTTTTTAAACAAAAATATTTCCCTTGGCCTGAAACCAAGAATGGAAGGCATTATCCAGAGGGCCATTTTGAACAACCTATAATTGAGTATAAACGTAGCTGTAAGAGGAACACCTGCTCCGAGCACTGATACTCCTAGATGAGTACCTTTGATTATATGAGCTTGGAGGCACACATTAATAAGTTTTGATAAAATAGTGATTAGATGAGTGAAGGCCAAGTTGCATCTGCTATTAAAATCCCAAGAAGTGTGTTTGGTCTTACTCTACAGCATAAAAAGCAGGGGAACAGAATTGATACCTTGCTGCCTTCTGCTGTGTGTGCTTGGAAGAAATAAAAAGCTATGTCTGTTTGAGTCATCTGAATTGAGTGCCCTGATTTTCAGGGCTTCTGAGTACTTACAGTTCTTTCATTTGGGACACTAGGCACCTAAGTAGGCCACTCTAGATCTGTGCCTGTACAGTGCTCCGTGCAAGATTTAGATCTTATTTAGCAGCCAAAATAGCAAGTAGATACAGAAAATCAGACCCTTATTCTGAAGGGGGTAGTGCTGGAGGCTTTTGGTTTTATTTCTTATGATGGTCTTGGAAAGGCTTAAAAGTAGAGTCCAACTGTGCTTAAGGAAAAACAGTGATAGCTCACTAAGGGAAATAGCGAGACGACGTTTCTTTCAACAGAGGGTTTTGACTTTACGCAGTCACTGAAGGATTTTGAGTGATTCTTCAGCAATAGCTTTGCTTTTTTTTGTACAGTGCTAGCAGTGTAACAATTATTAATGGATCCATTGCCTCCCACTGTCTTGTTCCCTATCTTCAGTTTTCTTAGGGAATGTATGCTGAGAAGAGTAATGGAAAAGCATGTTCTCACTACAAGGAAAATGCAATTGTATGAGGAGCTGGTCTGTCTTTATGTAGTATTGTGTTCAGAAAAGTGCAGTCTCCTACAGACCCCTTTGGGTTAACATGCTCCTTCAAGAGATCTTTGCACTAACATTTGAGATAGACTGTTAGGAGTTTCTAAGTTATGGCAATTTAAAAAACAGGACAGGTAAAACAAGAAATCTTACCCATCCTACTGGGCTTCTTCCAGTTCCCTTTTTTGTATTTCTTCTCCTTTGAGGTACAAATGGAGTTCACTGTTGAATTGAAAAGCTTATTGTTCTCTAGTGATATCTACTTGATCTTTCTTTGAAGAGAAAGGTCACAGTGTTGTTAGAGGATCTAGTTTGTTTCTGCCCCTCTTACTGGGTAAGATTTGCTCTTTTTAAGATGAGTTTGCGCATTTGATATGGAAGTGTTTTTTAACAAGTACGCCTGAATATCTTAAGTGTGCTTAATACCATCTCAGAAGAGTTACTGTCTCTTTTTAATAAGTAATTGGGATTTGGTGTTAAACCTGCAAAGCAGAAAATACAAAATCATTCTGTTCAGCTGGAGATTGTCCCATGTTCACATCTGCGCAGTGCGTGGGTTCCAGTTATTCCACTGGAATTTACTGAAACTGAGGAATATTCCACTGATCAGTGACGGCTGTCAGGTTCTGATTCCTAAGGGAAAATATTTTGTAACTGTGATATTGAGGAAGACCACAGTGGAGTATGCTCAGACTGAACCTCATGGAGGTTCTTTTTGAGATAAACAACTTCTGTCTGAACAAAGGATTGTGTATCCCAATAACCATGCATTTTTCAAGTATGTAAAAGGATTTGTTAACAGCTTTTTTTTTTTTTTTTTTTTTCTTCTTTCCTTTTTCCTGTAGATTTGGCAGGATTTTATGTTTGCATGTGCACTGTATCCAACTGACCAGAATTACTTGGAATCTGTAAGAGCAGAAGTTTCTCATCAGGTATTTTGTCCATGTGTCGAAGCTCGATTTCCCGTTACCTAGTTTTGATTGACTGACTGTATAAGTTAGCTTTCCAGAAAGCTTATTTTGAAGTGTTTGTTAGTGTACCTTTTTGTAGCAGGCACAAAATGTAACCTTGCTAAATCCTCTTTAACTTACTTGCAGGAGTAGCCAGTCAAGCAGAGGTACCAAACTGCCCTCTTCTCAAGGATGTTTAAGAGCATTCCCTGAGAGTGAGCTCTAATGTTTGCAACATGCCTTAGCACTGAGTTTATCCTTCACGTGTGGATGAGTAGATGGGTATGGAGCTACACGTGTGCATATGGTGGATATATTATCATATTAAAAGTTTGCCCCTCTGTAAGTGTATGTTACAAAAGTCTGAGCCTGGTGGAGAGCTGAGGGAATAGTGAACAGTGCAGTGTAATTTAAGTAGTAATGAAGTGATTTTTTGTTATTATTATTATTATTATTTTTAAGAGAAGTAATTTTGCCTGGCTTCTGAAACTGTCTGTTGTGTTTCAGATAAGGCGTTTAAAATCCCATCCATCAATTATTCTGTGGAGTGGTAACAATGAAAATGAAGCAGCAATTGCAAGCAACTGGTTCTCCATACCTTATGCTGACAGAGAAGTCTATATCAAAGATTATGTGATGCTTTATGTGAAGACCATTCGAGAAATAGTTCTTACGGTGAGTGATCTCAATAAACTGTAGGGGGACATGGCTTGGCAAAAGGGTGTAATGTTTGCAATTTGAGCAATTTAGGGTTTTGTTGGTGTGGCTTTTTGTTTTGGTTTGGTTTTTTTAAATCCTTTTAGTAAATGAAAAACAGCACATTATTGAGGAATTGCACTTTCCAAGCTCTTGTAAACAACTCTCTAAACTCAGCACTTATCCTCAAAGTAAAACAAGCCACAAAATAACTTATGTCTTCAATGCTTTGTGGTATGTAAAGGAAGACCTGAAAATGTAGTGGATTTTGGTTTTTTTTTCTTCCTATTTTTAATACCTCCACAAATGCCTTCACTTCCAGTGGACAGGTTTCCTATATCCTGATTTTTTTGAAAGACACTGTAAGAAGGATTTAACAATCCTCAAGCGTTTTAATAGAAGTTGAAGATATTAATAAAAATGTTATTTCTTCAGTGTGCTCTTCCAGTATTTGATTTAAGTTTTTTGGCTTAATCAGGTTAAACAAAAGCTATGCTAAACATTGTCCTCATGCTATTTAGTCATTGTATTGTGTGTTTTTGAAAAGCAGACTAATGGTATTTTACAGTGTATGAAGACAAAATATTTTGAGATAAGACTTAAACTTTAGGCATGCAGAGCAGAAGCACCTGGAATCCCTGAAGTCTACTGGGATTTGGCACTACCCATTTTGCACAGCTTTTATATTTTTATTTCTCCTACTAGAAGTATTGCAGTTTTTCATTATTTAATGGAATCCGCTTTTAACTAAATTTTATGTGTGTATGTAGAGTGAAATTGATTTAAAATTCCCAAACTGATGTCGCATAACTATATAGGGATTAACAAACAATACTTGAAGCGCAGGTGAGTATTCTGAACTCCCCTGTTAGCTAAGAGCTAAAGTGTTGTGAGAGTTTTGTTCAGTTAGAACCTCCTTCTTCAACAAGAGTATGAGTTTTTGTTAACCTAAAAATGCTGGTAGCCTTTTCGTAGCCAGTTATTTCTTGTATACTATGATCTTATTGACTTCAGGTTATGATAGTTTTAGTCAAATCTCTGTCCTTTTCAGGATGAGATACCTTTCATGTTATGAGGCTCACGACCTGAAGTTTCCCTTTGCTAAGACAAGCAATCATTATGTAAGTGACAGCAATGTTTTTGCTTGTTATGGGAGGCTACTGGCATTGTCAGAGTACTTGTACTCTGAGAATTTAGAATACGTTTCTACTTGAAAAGTTGAGGTATGAGGAAACAATAAAAATGAGGCTAGGTTTGAAAGAACCTGCTGAAAAAGATCCCACCCTTGAGGGCAGTTATGCGTTCTAAATGGTAATGGTGTCTTATATTCCTGTTTAACATCTTGATTCTAGATTTCTATATTTCAGTTAGGTTTTTTTTTTTTTTTTTTTTAACGGAGTTGTTTGCAAAGGTATGCTGTGGTGTTCTGTGATGAGCTATATGACCTGGATGGGCAGGGCATGTCCAGTGAAGTGAGGCGTTGTGGCTTGGTACTGTTTATTACTTAAAGTTCACTTGTGCAGTGTTGTGGTCCAAGACAGACGAAGGAACCATACAGTGAAATAATTTCACATCCTGTGTAATACAAGCCAGCTGAGGAAACGTGTAACTACTAGCAGTACTGGACTGTATAACTTAAAAAGGCTCCTAAGTTTGAGCTAAAGACTTCAGGGAATCCAGGATATCCTGTAGTAAATTATTTCAGTTAATTATTAATTACTCATGTTAAAAAAAGGGAGGGGGGCAGAGATAACTTTCTTAAAATGAAACATGTGTCCAAGTGCTTTGCTGTATTGGAGCCAATTGCTTTAAGTTGTGACTGGTAACTAACTTAGGCCTCTGTCTTACTAAAAGTAGGGTGCTAAATGAATTATACTTGCAAAAGGTTTCCTTCAGTACTCTGTAGGGTACTGCTGAAAGATGTAGTATACTAAATCTGCCAAGGCTATAAATAATGGCAACTCTGAACAATTTGAAATGTAACCCTTCTTATAGCCTCATCTATCTTAACACGAAGAGCCAGCCAAAATGACAATAATCTGCAACACTGCCATGCAAGCATTAGTAGCAGGATACTTTGGCTTTGTTAGAACTAAATTTAGGAGACTACTTAATAAGAAAGAGGCAAATCATGGCCTTGTCCCTGTAAAAACACTGCAAAAGTAATGATTTTCCATAAAGAAGTCACAGCACTCAAATATTAATGTTCCTTGAGTTTATTTTTCATGAGGCACACTTTAAATAGCTTTCATTAATAATTTAGAAGCATATAAAGATAGGAGATATCTTGATGTGAGGAGAGAATCCCTTAGAACAGCAAGCAATATCATGCCCAACTTTTCTCCAGGAACATGAATAAGAAGGTAACTAAGCAAGTAAAGATGGTGAATGTTGGGGCAGAATGGGGAATGTTTCCTAGATGGTGACTCATACCTTTGGAAAAGGCATGGTCTCCCCAACCCCCCCCTTTTCAAAATGTGGTCTGTGTGTTCAGATGATAAAAACCAATCACTTTGTTGAGGGTGTTGTGTTTTTGTTTGGTTTTGTTTGGTCTTTTTTTTTTTTTTTTTTTAAATCTCAGGAAGATAAGAGCCGTCCTTTTATTGCATCCAGTCCTACCAATGGCTTGGAGTCAGTTGAAGAAGGTTGGGTCTCCCAGAATCCCTATGATACCCATTATGGTGACACTCACTTTTATGACTACAGCAGTGACTGCTGGAACTGGATGGTGTATCCTAAAACTCGTTTTGCTTCAGAATATGGATATCAATCCTGTCTCAGGAAGATAAGAGCCGTCCTTTTATTGCATCCAGTCCTACCAATGGCTTGGAGTCAGTTGAAGAAGGTTGGGTCTCCCAGAATCCCTATGATACCCATTATGGTGACACTCACTTTTATGACTACAGCAGTGACTGCTGGAACTGGATGGTGTATCCTAAAACTCGTTTTGCTTCAGAATATGGATATCAATCCTGGCCTTCCTTCAGTACAGTCAAAGAGGTAAGGCTGGGCTTCCACATCTTCCTGTCCCCTCTGTCTCATTTAGTGAGGGCAATGAGTCTCTCCCCAATAAACTACAGTATCTGAACTGTAGCTGGGATAATCCATTGTTAGGTGTGGTACGGCGCAGGTGGGATAGAGGTGTGTGCTGGTGTGGAGGCAGGGGATGAAACTGGACTGTTTCCCTTCTCAGTGTTCAGTATATTTACCTTGATGTTGCATGAGGAACCAAGTTTAGATGAGAGACTATTATGAGACTGCTAATTTTTAATATTAATTCTATCTAATGTATAGCTTAGTGACGATTGCCTAACATGTTTCCTTTTGCTATGTCTAATGATATGTGTACATTTAGAAGAAAAACATGACAAATGCTGAATTGTGCTGAATTCTAAGATGTATTGATTGTTATCATTTTTACCAATTTCTTTTACTTAAATAATTTGTTTCTTTATGTATTGTATGCAAGAGAATTTGGTTTTGTCTCCTGTTGAATTTAGACATTGTATATTCTGTCTCATCCAGTTGGAGCAGAGACATATTTTGCTGTTTGTCCATTTGTTCAGAGAGAGATGAATATCATGACGATACTCGTGCATGCAACTAAAAGGAGTTCAGAATGTTCCTTTCAATTTGCTGGGCAAAGTATATTATCCAAGACATCATCAGTACCTTCATCCATATTAATAACAATGAAAAGTATTCAATCCAGCCTAAAAAGGAACAAATTTAAATAAAAAGATTTCATAGAGATTGTAATTACAATGAAAGCTTGACAGTAATAACTGCATGAGCTATGCTGTATTGTTATCCTTAGTTGAAAAAATTGTTTCATGATAAATTTTTTTCAGAGGCAGGTTTTGAAAATAAACACATTATGAGAATTCATAGCCCTACTAACTTCTGTAATTTAATCCCTAAATGTGTTTGACTAGAGTACATTATTTCATCTTAATCTAGGGTGTTTCTGATTTAATATTAATGCAAGCAAACCTCTGAGGTCCCTTGGCCAAACTGAAACAAATAAGGTAAATGCCACTGAGCGAAAAGTTGCTCTTCTGGGTTCAACGGCAATGCCTGTTTTCATTTATTTGTACAAGGAGTACAAGCAAAGTGTGTTATTGATTCAAAATCCTTGCATGACAGCATGAGGCACTGTAGCAATATGCTACCAATTTTAAAGGTTATGGATGATGTCAGCAGGCTGTAATGGATATCCTTTCCTGAATATTCTGTCAGTCCTTAAATGCACACTTTGCCTTTTCATTCTGATCTCTTCTGTTTTTTAAAAGGTTTCCTCCACTGAGGACTGGTCCTACACAAGCAATTTTTCCCTCCATCGACAGCACCATGAAAATGGCAATGATCAGATGCTTCAACAGATTGGGCATCATTTCAAGCTTCCCCAGAGCACAGATCCCATCAAGAAGTTCAAAGATACGATCTACCTCACTCAGGTAACAATGGTGTCTTCAGTATAAGTAGCTGTCAATACTGTTCCATTAGATACTGTTGAAGCCAGGGCTGTTCTGTTGTCATGTCCAGTCACACAGAAAGCTTCTGTGCTGAAGCTTTGGAGAGTCCATTTTAGTTAGGAACTAGTTTGTCTCTTGTTTATTGGAGAGAGACTCCAGTTTTCACCATAGAAAAGCTGGAATACTGCTTGGGGAACTTCACAGAAATTGTCTCAACTGGGAGAAAGTCTGGCTGCGTGCGCTGCCATGGTCCCTGCAGTGCAGGGAACGCAGGGGTGTGCTGGCCTGCCTTCATACATGATTCTTCTGGTGCTATGCAGGGTGAGCATCTTCTGCTCTTCATGTGGCCCCTGTACGCTTACTGCTTTGATTTTTGCCACAAGGAATACAGTAGCTTTGCTTCTAGAGAATGCAGTTCTCTATGAATTAGGTTATTAGTAGCTTTCATTTTGTTATGGACGCAGATATTGCTATTTTAGAAAATCTGTTTTGTTTTTTTTCAAATCAGTAGGTTATATTTTGCTCTTCAGCTGTAGTAGATTAGCCTACGCTTGTTTCTTTCTTTGTGATTTGTACATGGCTTTTAAATTATGTTAAGTAACTTTTAAATGCTAATAGGCAAGTTTAAATGCTGTTACTTTTTGTTCTGTTCCAAGAATTTCAGAAACACTCTTAATGGGAGTAACTGCACATCCACTAAGTTTTTAATGTTTGAGAGCTGCTGTCAGCAAGTTTTATATAGAAACAAAACAGCTGGAGAACTGTAGGCACAGATAACAAGAGAACAAGGATAGATGATACTGTGAAATTGAGAGCAGGGGTAAAACTTGTGCAGTGAGGTCCTGTCTCAAAAATCTATGAGTTTCTGCAGAGTTAAGTCTGTCAGGACTTTAACAGGTTAGATGATTTCAGAATACTAAAATAATGATAGCAAAAAGGATAAGGAGAGTAAACTTGCCTCTAGTGGTTGACTAGAAATGTTATCTTTACCTTTGGAGCTGTCCTAAAGAATAACTTCTTCCTTTATTTTGAGACTTTTTTTTAATACCTCCCCAGCCGAGTAATATACTTTGTCAAGAAAATAACAGGCTGTTTGGCTTCTGTCGAGAACTTGGCCAATAAAAAATTCTGAAAAGTGTTTTTTAACAAGGTGGGGAAGGAGTGAAGAAGTGGGAGTGCAGGTGGAAAAAGGTTGCTCTTTCGGTACACAATTTTGACTGTACACTGGGAATATGTATTATATGTTCAGAGTATAGGGATGTGGACATCATTCATGGTAGTGTATACTGGAGGCAGTGCAGCATAACGTCATTTTGCAATTCTTGGGTTTTTTATTTACATTAATTTTTTAAAAAATTATTTAAAATGTATTTTTCTTTCCCTTGTCTTGCATTTGCCTTTCAAAGACCCTGTTGCCCAGTGATCTTCACTGGATGTAAGGCAGGGAGTAGCCTCTCCAGAGTTTCTCTAAAGATTATTATGAAGATTATTATTATAAAGCTGTTGGGAGCTGCTAGGAATAGATCTCCTTCAGGCAGAGGCCCACTGCACTGCAGGTGTATACTCTTGAAGGCTCAAGTATGAAGTTACATGCTGTTGCTGTGATGTCTGTGTTGTATGTTAATATATACACACATGCTTTGAAAGTAAAGTGAAATACAAAATACAATGCACCAAAAATAACTTTTTTTTTTATTTAATGTGTTTGTTGAACAAGGTGATGCAGGCTCAGTGTATAAAGACAGAAACTGAATTCTATCGTTTTAGTCAAAGTGAAATCATCAAGGGAGAAGGACGCACAATGGGAGCTCTGTACTGGCAACTCAGTGACATTTGGCAGGCACCTTCCTGGGCTTCCTTGGGTAAGTTTTGTGACAGTCTGGTAAAAAGCATCAACTATCAGTCTTATTTTGTTTTCCGCTTCTGGAAGTATCGGAATAAGTAGTAAGGCTCTTGTTTCTCTCTTGGGCAACTTTGCAAACTTTGATCATGTTTCTGTCTGTCCTTTAGAAATGCTCTCCAGGAAAGTGTTTTTCAGGATCATCCTAATAGTCTGTGGAAGTGGAAGAGGGTAGAGAACAAAGCAATTCTTTTCCTAAGGGAGTCTTGCTACGTAAGTTCAGATTTAGTAGCCACCAACTCTTAGCCTTGTTTTAGCAAGTTTAGACAATTAAAATGGCATGTAACTCCTAATTTCATAAAAATACTCTTGTTTAAGCAGAATTCTCATTTCTCCCAAGGAAATAATGACATTGAAGCCAGACAAAGCTGCCTATTAGGAAGCAATGATAGTTAAGATTGAGGGCACAAGCCCCTTGTGAGGTAAACTTTCGACTACCCTTGCTTTTTTTATGCAGAGCTGGATTTTCCTAAAACGTTGTGTGATATAAAATCCATTTTTTTCCAGAGAACTTTTGCATGATATGCAAGCTTTGCATGCAAGTTCTTTTAAAATCAGAAAGATCAATTCTTTTAAAATGTGAGACTTCTAAGAAATTCTGTTTCCTGTTCTAGAAATCCCTGATTATATTTCTTGGCTCAGCTGTACAGATGCATATGCGTACCCACCTTGGGTGAGAATGGACAGAGAGGGAGCTAGCGGGATAGGAGGGTAAGAAGGAGCACCCATGTATAATTATGCCAACAAATTTTGTTGATTTTGTCCCCTCTGTACCCCCATGGTAAAAGGATCAAAACCTCGCCCTTCAGTAGGTGGTATTGCACAGTGGAAGAACATACAGAGCTGTGATTCTGTTCTGAGCAGGATGGGATTTAGTATGTAAAGGCTAGGCACCTAGATTTCTTCTGTAGTCAGCTGGGTGAGAGACGGTTATCTCCAGAGTGTGATTCATTGTGTCCTTAGCTGTCTAATAAGTGGGATGAATTATCTTCTCCATGCTGAATTTGATTTTCATAGAACTTCTTAGGACACCTGTCACCCAGCATAGCGTCTGAGGAGCTCTTTATAGGAGGAGATGACTAGCTGAGATTTGGTGTCTAACATAGTCTCAGGTGAGGTGCATCACTCTGTGGCTAAATTATTCTGCTAATATGCTATTTACACACATGGTATCTTCTTATATATTATATGTATTTTTTTTTCTTTTTAGAATGCAAAAATGGAGTAATCAGACATTTGAAGAGATGAGTCATTTAGTAAGAAATAGGGGAGGAATGTGTGGTATGAGGGAAGTGGCTGAGTTTCATGCTCCAAAGATTTTGTCTAGAAGTCACGTTGAAATGGAGAAGCTGTTCTATGGCAGCTGTATAGGACTTAGGTAGATTTTCTTTCAGTTTTAGTTATTTCTCACATGTTCTGGTTTTGAAAATCTTTATTTAAGAATTTTATGTGTGAAGAAATATGAGTGAACTAGAAAAAGCTAAGAGTTAGTGTGAAATTCTTGATCTATCCTTAGAACAAAATGCCATTTGACCTTGCTCAAAAAAAAAAAAAAAAAAAATTATTACCCCACCCCATCCTCCCCTTCTTTCTCTGGGAGATGTTTGTCCCTCTCTTTTTCTTTTTGTTCTTTCTTCCCCCCCATCCAAACAAAGTAACTTCAGCCAGTAAAAGAAAACAAACCAGTATAAGAAACAGGCTATTTTATTTAGATGATAAGGCAGTGGTCCAACTATAATGCTCATCTTTTGGACTCCTAGACTTGTATTAGGAAACGGAATATCCCAATGTTCATTTTTATGATTTTAGCAATGGCTGATGCTCTTAGGCTTTAAGTGCCTCAAGAGCAAAAGACACTTGGAAAAACGTCTCTGTGTGAAACAGGTGTATTGATAGATGAAGTAATTGTGGAGACCATAAATGTCTTTTAGAGTACAGAGCTGATGAAAATATATCAAATACTTGAATTATTCATATATTGTTGAAGTTGGTTTACAGAAAAGAAGCTCAGCAGAGATACAGCTGTCCCTTTGTTTTGTTCTGTTCCCTCAGTGGAATGCGAAAAGGTTTAATATTCATTTAATTAGGCGTGTGATAGAGGGATTTTTGAAATGCTAATGGCTGAAATTATGCAAAACTTAGATAAATTAGTTTAATTTGCACTTCAAAAGCACGTTTCTGCATCTTCTTAGATGGCACAGTAGTAGTATCACCAATGACTGCTTCTTATTTAAAGCTGTTATCTCACAGAGAGCCATGGAGGGGCTTCCATAATGTCCTGTACAAAGCGGAAGTGTTTCCTCATGAAGTGGGGAGGGAAGAATGTTTCTCCTTTTAATTTACCTTTAAGATATTTGCTTGGGATTGAGAGAAAATCCAACACAGCACAGAAGTCATAGTACTTCCACCTTCAGAACTCAACAGCTTTTCCCACAACTGGGTTTGGATGGTTAGCACCCAGCTGTGGAGCGGCTGTGCCATGCTGAATGCTTTAGCATCTATGCAGTTTGTTTTGGTGAAGCGTGCCGCGATGCACGATGCACGTGGCGATTTGAGTCTCACCTTGAGGTACCCAATTCATGAGATTCCTTTGAACAGATAACAGGCTTTTATTGAAGGTTCAGTATTTAGAGCCCCTGGTGAAGTGAAACCACCACAGGCTATTACGGAGAATAATAGATCTGAATTCGTGAGACAAGATCTATCGGCATGTTTCTCAGGTTGCATTGAATGGTGTGAAGTGATTAATTTAAAATCCATTCCAGAGAGAACTGTTTGTTCTCACTCCTGCTATCAGCGTAGAAGGCTTCAGGGAACAGTCAGAAAAAAGGGTACTGGGATCTCATTACCAATCTCATTTTAGTTTCCTGTTCTGAAGTTTGATACCGCAGAGAGTGCAGACCCCATGTTATTATTGGGAAAAATTGGGGTACCATGGATTTCTTTAAGCATGCATTTAAATGTGGGGGGAGGAGAAGAAAACCACCCCAGGGCTATTTTAAATAGCTTTTGACTGTTGCCTTTGGGCATGCATGTCTGTAACAGGAAAATTTAAGCCCAGAGATTTCTTATGATAGCCCCCTGATCTCCAGATTTCTTACATCCATTTTCGGGGCCAGGGGAGTATTTTACATGCAACTCGCCTGTTTTTAAATAAAGAAATGTGACTTTGGTCTTAAGGAAATAAAGATAACAGATGAGCTGAAGAATGTGGCACTTTTTTATTAATGAGCTTCAGTTCTTTGTGCTGTCTGAAGGTACTTTGACAATTGTATTACCAAGATCCTGCTGCCGGAAAAGTTATCTTTGGAAGGCCCTTCCTTTGTGAAACTGCTCCAGCAGTTGAGCTTTTTTCTTCAAAATGCCTCTAGGCATTTCAGGAAGGGAAATACCAACCTTAAAAAGCTGATCAGAGGTAAGCAGACTAGTGCTGTTTGCAAACACCCCAAAACAATAGCTGTAGTGGTTGAACCCTAGAATTAGTTTTGAAATGGTACAAACTTTTAAGTGTGTGGTTTGTTTGCTTTTGTTTGTTGGCTGGGGCTTTTTTCTTTGGTTGTTTTTTTCCCCTGGAAGTATAATGCCAAGTTTAGTCCCAGTTGTACAAGGTTCTTGAGGATCTCTGTATCTGCTGCCTGGGTAGCAAACCTTGGTTTCCCTCCAGAAACCACTGTAAGGTGGTTCCGTAATCCACCTGGAAATCAAGGCACAGCAGAAATTGAGGGCAAGGCCCATTCAAAGAGAAATGGGATTTTATATTACACTGAGTAACAGAAACTGCTCTACTTCAATTTTATTATTCCTTTTCATATTTAAGACAGTTGAAGCCTAGATTTTCATCATGTAAATTAAGCTGAGCTAAAAATTGCAGTCAGCAGGCACTGAAACCTCAGCCGGTGCTGGGTAACTTGTCTGAGCTTGTGGTGGCCCCTGTCTGAGGCCTGCTGTGAACAGCATCTATTGCACTGACAATTGAAATTCCTGAGAGTCATGGGGCAGTCCTGAGGGCTTCAGAGAGTTCAGCCCCTCACAAAGCCGGAGGTTAGGCACAGTGCCCATTCCTCCTATGAGACCTACTGCTTTTATATTTCAGATCAGATGCTACCCCATCATTTACTCTGTTTCAGATAATCTATACCCCATCTAAATCTCTCCTCTTCTCCAGTTTCATGGCCCTGAAAAGTAATTTGTTAGCACTCCCTGGTTTTGACAGAATTGTCCTTTAGACCACCAACATTTTTTTGCCAAGAATTGTCTTTGGAATGCAATAATGTGTCTTTGTTCATGTACTGAACAGCAGCAATACCCTGACTGTATCAACAGTCTGTTTTGAAGAAACTCAGCAGCCTTTCCTGAAGTTTTCTTTCAGACTTCCATCTCTTTGGTTTGCTTCAGTGCTATTAACTTGAATGCTGCTGGTGGTGTTTTGCTGGCAAGTCTGAGCTCATAGCATAGTTTAATCTTGTATGGGATTTCCAGGCAGATACCAGCTTTTCTTTTCTGTTCTCCAAGCTAGATCGTTGTGAGCTTGCTGAAAACAAGGTGATGTGCAAGGTGCTAAGCTGGAGACAATGTACTTTGCTCTCCACAAACTTCGTTCGTGTCTATGTGGAGCGCAGGCAGAGCATTTTCAGGTCTGCCTGTGAAAGCCGCAAACACGCCCTTTAAAGACCCCATCACTCTGGATGAAGTCCTTCATTCTGAAATATTTGAAAGTGCTAAGAGTACTTAGTACTTTTGTACAGGTACCCAAACACAGAGAGGTAATTAGTTATGAGAAAAACATGTTACTGGAAATATTTTTCAGCTGAACTTTAAACTTGTATAAAACAAAGAGCCAGAAACAAGAATGAAACCAGTATCTAACTTTTCTTTTCTTATGAGATGATGCGGCCAACTTGCTACTTCTTTTTAGTGCTATTTCAATCACTAGATAATGGTTGAGCAAAGACAGAGTAAAAATGCTGACAGTGGGTGCTAGGTGGAAAATTAATAGAGAAAGAAATGGAAGCAACTTCTATTTCAAAATGGTTGGGTGTCAGTGTTGCATCTGGCAAAATTACATTTTTTGGAGAGGGAACAAAGTTTGATGGCTTTTTCAGTTTGCTAATGGCAGACTATCAAAATATTAAAAGTAATGACGTACAGCTTTCCATCACATAGGCAAAGTGAACTGTTTGGCATAAGTCTACATCATGTGTCTGCTAAATCCCATGCTGTAAGTGTTGTCTCTAGATTTTGGCAAATTCATGTTGCCTAACTCAGAGCTGTGTTTGGTTTGAGAACCTTGTTGGCTTTTTTTTTTTTTTTCCTTCGGTGCTACTGATGTTCCTCTAAGGCAAAACTGAGAGAGGAGGACTGAAAAAAAGGGGAAGAGAGCACTTTGCATAAGCACCAAAAGTCAGTCTCTAATTTACAGTGGTGGTAGTTTTGTGGCAATGTCACCAATGCCCGTGTTGTCTGGGTTCTCAGCAACATAGGTGCTCCAGCTGTTTGCTTAGTATGTAGTATGCTGTGTCAGTTTTGTTAACGTCACTTGTGTTTAAGGCTTTGTTTAAAATTGTATAACAGCATAGCAATGATAGCACTAACACTTAAAAAATGTGACCTTTTGGTGAAGCTCAAAAAAAAGCTTCAAGGAGCTTCAGATCCCTTCCAGAGCAGAGCCTCGACTGGAAAAACACAAGAGTAACTTTAGCCATTCTCTGCACTTGACAGAGGTGAAAACGCGTGGAGGGGGATATTGTATTGCCATAGCAGGACCAGAAAGCACAGGAAAGGACTGTATGCCAAGGCAGTCTTGGATTCAGTCTGACTCTTTCTCTGTTTTAATGCTTTTCAGAGTATGGTGGCAAGTGGAAACTGCTCCATTATTTTGCCCAGAACTTCTTTGCGCCACTGCTGCCTGTGGCCTATGAAGACAAAGGTACGTTGTACATCTATGGTGTCTCAGATCTTCATGTGGACCACAAGGTGACTTTGACGGTAAGTGACACCTCTTTCGCCATGCTTGTGTCGCTCCCGCAGAAATGTGAGAAGCTGAATGAGCACATCTTTGTGTAGACAAGCATCAGTAAGTCATGCTTAAACACAATGAGGTGCAATTCTTTTGTTTAATCTTCTTGGGGCAACGCTATCCTTTATTATAGTAGTGTGTACTGCTTCACAGAACAAGGAATTAATTGCCTTGCTTATAGCCTGTAGGAATAGCCCTGAAATCAACTATTCTGTTGAAATTTTAAAGGGATTGATGGTTAAACAGAACAAAGTGTAAAAAATGGTACCTCACTACTTAACAAAGCTGTTCCCTGAGTGTTAGAACTAGATTAACTAAGTGGAGGGAAAAAAGGATTGTACCGTTGCTCAAACTACACTGCTTTGAGAAAAAGAACTAATTATTTTCTGAAATATCAACAGAACATCTAGATGTACTTTAATTGCAAGATTACCTATGCAATGTCACCATTTTACAATTGATGCCTTAGCTGTTTTCTCATAATGTGGTAGAAACTGTTAGGATTTCTTATGCGTTATTTGGGCTGCTCAGTTGTCCTGTGGAACACAGTCTTGCTTTTCAATTTGTTACATGTTGTTGCTGTTAATCATACAGCAACCAGACCCCAAATGAATTTAGGGAGGTACAATTCCTGTCGTAAAGGGCGTCCCATATGAAAAGGCTGGGAAGGATGGAAAAATAGCCTTAGAGACCTGGAGTGACTAGTAATTTCAGAACTAGTAGTATACCAATTCCTAGTTGACTGCTCTGTCTGGTGGGCTGCCATGAATTTTCAGATTTATAAGGTTACTTAAATATAGTAGTATATAGCATGGAAGATGGCTGCAATTTCTGCATAGTCTGTTCTTAGAGTAGGACTGCACTTCATGAAATTGTTTATTTCTGGTCTGAGTTACTGTAACAGGCTTCAATTCAGATTTTCTGATAATGTCAGAGAAGCATTGGCAGCAGGGTAGTTCCCATGAATACTGTATTTTTCACTTCAAGAAAATTTGGATATTAAAGCTTTTGAAAGGCGTTAAGATCTGTTCCTGACTGCAGACCCCTGTTAAGGTTAAAAATAACCTAAATTGTATTAAGAGATAGAGTGCTGTAATTCTCATTGTGTCTGTCTTCCAAATTATGCTGCTTTTTTTTTTTCCCTAACATAAGAGTGCATTCATAATGCGTGCGTGATCTCTGGTCATGTATATTTTACTGTATTAATATAACTTCCATAATCCCTTTGAAGATGATGCAGCTTGCTTCTGTTTAATGGTGATTGTGCAGAAGCTCTAGGTTACCCAGTTGGGTTACATCAGATAACACTGAACAATGTCAAGAAAATCCTTTGTTTGACTTTTTTTTTTCATCGGGGAGGGGAGGAAAAAGAGTCAACAAATTAGTCACTAATTCCATTTCTCAGCTCTCCATGGGCAAGAATTGGCAACCCCCTTCTCTCAAGGAGCCTGGAGAAAACAAAAAGCTTTGCAGATCAAGAACAACAACAGATCCAGACTCTGTGAAATAGACTTCTTGTTAGGTTTATATAATATATTTATTATGCCGTATAAATTGTTTAAATCTTTGTGGAGTTTCTTGCTAGGTGGAAATCAGCTCTACTGTCAGGAGAAACATCTCCTGCAATAAGTAGTCCAAAACCTAGGATCCTGGGTTGTTTTCACAGATGTAACTTTTCTTCTAAGCTTTGTGCTCTCTCAACATGCTTGACAGGTCACTGTGCATGCCTGGAGTTCTTTGGAGCCAGTATGCACCCTTGCCAAAGATGCTGTGACTGTTAAAGCACAAAGTGCTGTCCCCATCTACAAGGAGTCCATAAATGACTTGCTGGAAAGATGCACAAATTGTACGAGGAAAAGCTGCGTTATTACTTTCCGTCTTGTGGGAGAAGGTGGGCTCCAGAGTCCTGTGAACCATCACTTCCTTTCATCACTAAAGGATGCTGTCGGATTAGAAAAGACCCAGTTTAGTGTAAGCACCAGTCACACTAAATTACTGTCTTTGGTTTTGCTAATCTCACTGGTTTGAGTTGTTTGCCTGCTATGCAGTGTCTGATTCTACTTAATGTTCTTTCTCCTTATTTGTTGCAGTTCTAGCTTCCATGTTGAGTTCAAAATTAGACTTTTTTTTTCTGTGTCACTATATGTATATCAAAGTAACACTGGTGGTGAGGTTTTTTTGGTGTTTTTTTTTGTTTTAAATAATGAAGTCTTCATTTAATTTGTTTTGACTGTCTTTCACCTGACTGCTGCTGCATTGCTCCTTTCGTTCCTTTTGTCCCTAGATAGCAAATAGCATCATGTCAAGTGTTTTGGCTTGCAGACAGTACTGTGTGTCAGCCCTAGGTGATGCTACTTCAACTGAGTGTGGAGGGCATTATTGCCAGCAGTACTTCCTCCTGAAGTGCTCAGACTCTCAGATCAGTGTACCATTGCTAACATGCAACATCGCATGCTCCTTTCCTCCTTCTGCAAATCCTCTGCCCTTTAGCTAAGAATTATGATTTGCATAATAGCGATTATTTCTTAATATCTGGCAAGTAATATCTTCTGAAAGGCACAGAAAGCATCAGAGTTGTGTAACATTGTCATTTAGTCCATTTGCTGCTTCTCCCTAGATTTCTTCTGCTCCTAGCAAGCTTGGTCTATGTGTAGAGAGCAAGCATGTGTACATGCACGCTTTGTTAAGCCTCACTTCTTCGCATGTAAATCTTATTGCAAAATTCTTCATCAGCAGATTGGCAGGATGAGGACCTGTGTGTTCTCACATTTGGCTTCCAAAATGCAGCTTTGCTCTTTAGAGCTAAACTAAACAAGGGAGGAATAGAGGCCTTTAATCTCTTTGAATCTGGACCAGCAGAATTGTTTTTTGTAAAGCAAATGGGCCAGATTTTCCTCTCTTATCTCTTTCATGGCAGCATGGTTTGCCTCCTGAGTATACAAAGGAAGGAAATCAGCCTGGTTTTATTTTTTTCAGCTGGTGGCACAATCTGGAGTCTGAGTCATGCTGGTTTTGATGTGGATGACATCATCAGTAATAAAAGCTCTGCAACTGGAGGATCATTGGGAAATGTCACTCCTTTTTCCCAGGGCTGTGGTGTCTCTGCAGTGCTATCTAATAAGGATAGCTAGCAAGGATAAATGCAGAGCGGTTATTTTAAGAAAGTATGCAGCTGTGATTTAAAAAATTATTCTGTTTTGTGAGAAGCTGGTGCTTCTGTACATAGTTACTAATAAACTAGCTAGACTTTCAAATGCGTTGCTAATCCAAATGCTACTCTTCGTAGCATTCCTTCTAAAAAAACGTGAAGGCTTTAGTGTTTCTTCAGAAAACAAAAGGTGCAGAGGATATGTGCTTTTTCTTAAAAATGAACAGTGTTGTCTTTCTTGTAAGCGGGATGTGTTTTCTGCACTTAACATAATTTGTCTGCTTTTTATATATAGTTAATTGGTTTTTGAAAATGATGTAGCATATTTCATGATGAGGAATGGGGAGTGGTGCATGAAAATGCATCCTGGTTGTGCCTTTAAGCCTCTCTGCGATTGACTACTGATAGAACCTAATATAAAACATTATACTTTGTCCTGATGTTTGACAACATAGCTGCCTTCTAAATGTAGTACAAGGACTTCACTGCCGTGTTCCATTAAGATGAGGTGGCCTCCTGCGTTACTGTGATTTTTTTTTTCCCATCTTTTGCTTCTGTGTATTTCTATGACTGATGTGATCAGAAAGGCCAGCTACTTTAGTAGTTGTGAATTTATAGGTTGAGTGAACTATGTTGGTGAGAGGACAAATCTCTTTCACTGCAGGAGGTATAGGATCCCAGGACTGGGTACAAGTCAGATGACCGTTTATTTGGTTATTTTCATAGGAAGATGGTAGAATGATAGTACTTCATGGCACTTTTCTGCACTATGTAGTATTCTGTAGGAAGGCTATAATAACATTTGCAGTTTTCCCGTGATTCAAATGTCATTGTTCAGTCTGTTTTACTGACATGCAGGTCTTTCCCAGTTTGGGTGTAACCGGGTTCTTTAACACGTGTATTTTCCTTTATTTATTTATTTATTTATTTTATTTCTCTTCCAGGCCTTTGTATCCCAACAAGATGACATTTATAGATTTGATCTTCAGACCACTGCAGTTGCTCCTTTTGTTTCTCTGGATGTAGGAAGTATAAAGGGCAGATTTAGTGATAATGGTTTCCTCATGACCAAGAAGAGGAAGGTGGTTGTGTTTTATCCTTGGGAACCTACCAGTGTTGAAGAACTTGAAAAGTCACTAACCTTGACCTCTCTGGTGGATGTTATCTGAGGATACTTAATTTTCTTATAGATAAGGAGTGAAACAGGAGGAGGAAAAAAAATAAGAAGCATTTGACTACTGTTGAAGTGACATACAGTTTGAGCTGACTAGAGAACATGCTGTCTATTCCTGTCATGTGTGAATTTTAACTGCTGGTTCAATGTAAACATACCAACAGCAAAGCTTGCGTATAATGTGTGTGGTGTATTGAAAGTAAGGCTTTCTCAGGTAACGGGGCAAAATATATCCCATGTATAAAATGGGAGGGGTGTGTCAGTGCAAGAGAGCTAGTCTAACTTCTCCAATTCACAAGAGATTGGAATTGTGAATTCATCCTAAATAAGAAGCAACACAAATATGCACCTCCAGACTATGGTTGTAAAAACACATTTTTTACAGTTTCACTGTGCTGTAAGTGGGGATCCATCTCTGGATAACAGCAAGGCACGCTGGGGGCAAGGGGGAAGGGCAGGGAGCGAAGCTGGAACCACCTCTACAGGTATACCCCCACTTGGAGTTGTTTGATCTGTCTGCACCCAAATTGGGAGAGCACTAGTCCTACCCTTTCAGATCTGTGGCTGTCACTCTTGTCAGGTGTCCTGCCCACCTCCTGCAAGGTGGGCTTCCAAATCCAGACCACCGAGCCATGCTGTGGGCAGGCTGCTAAATGTTCAGCTCATCTGTCAGATGTGGTTTGAAATGCAGCTGGGATCTTGCTGCAGCTCCACAAGGATCCTCTATCAGTTCAAGCAAGTATTAATTTTTTTGCAAAGCACCTAGCAGAGTCAGCACTTTACAGCAGAAGATGTTTGAACAAGCTCTACACCATAAAAGCACCATGTGGGTGATGCTTTCTGGGGGTCTGGAGCACATGTGGGGAGAGTGGCTGTGCGTTCCATTAGTCAGTTAGAAAACTGGGGGTTGTTTTCTTGCAGTGATCATGGTTTTAAGGGGCAAACAGATGAGCATGTTGAGTGATGCTCAGCTATCTCTGGTGCTTTTTGAACTGGGCGTTAACCATAACTGACATACTCCTGAGCAAGAGGAATAACTTAGATGGAAGGGAAATGATAAATGGAAGTTGCTTACAAATGCTTTATTAGGTCACCAAAACAATAGGAGGGCTTTTCTGATTCAAAACTTGTCCTAGTTGAAAGAAAACATGAAAGCAATCAAAATATGTATGTGTATGTGCCAGTGTTTATAGGTTATATAAAATAAATAGGGAAAATTATAGTCATTAATAAAACTTAACAGTTAGAAAATGCAGACATTGGTAAAGGAATTTAAATGTTATCTAAGAAGCATCCTGGGCCAACAATAGAAGAAACATCCTGCAATTTTTTAGAGTCCTGGAAGCAAAGTGGAATCAAAGCAGCAATAGAAGCAATATAAGGTAAGGATGAAAAATGTGGAGAAAATATGGAATAAATATGACTAATAAATATTGGTGCAGTGTATTAGGAAAAGGGCACGTTGGTTGACATCTTTCTCTTGCATTGATGTAGAAATGTCTCTTCCAGCAACATCTAGATAGAATTTCAAAATGGCACTTAACAGTGTTAAATAAATAAAATTTTGACACAATTACTTCTGTCAAAGGGTACCTGAAGGTTGATGGTATTTGTTCCTAGTGCATCCCAGAATACGAGTGAAGTTTCAGAGACGTAGAAAAGAGCTTTTGGATTGCTAGAAGCCATAAACCATGAATTTGGATAACTCTGACCTTGTTTAGCCTGTCACTAATTTTAGGCAACATGATGAAAGAAACGATGTGGTACATTATCAATAATTGCTGAAGTGGCTATGCAACTAATGCCTATCAGCACTGTTATGCAGAAGAACATTCTTTTAGAAAATGTGTTTTTTTGCCATTGCTTTCTGCAGTTACTGGACTGGCATTAAAAGGTTCAGATAATTTAAAAATTATTGTTATTTTTGAAGGTCAGAAGCTCCCTAAAGAGTGGGTCCATTCTTTCTTACTGGAAATCTTTAATTCAGCACCAGGTGCTGTTATGAAAGATTAGCAATTGCTTAAGCCAAATGCTTGAGCTCAAAACAGAATTTAATGGGGGAGGTTCACTTCCATTATTGTCTTAATATCCTTAATATGCTCCTTTGGTTTCCTGGTGTTGTAGCAGGTATGTATTTATAGATGCAATTTTCTCCTTTCCCCTGCGCAGCAGTGGCTGTAAAATGTACCTTGGTTAACCATTTCCCCCTGGTACTTTTGCCATTGCGTACTGTACCGTACTTGGTACATTGTTCTGCTTTTGTCTCACATCAGGGCAAAGATAGGAATGCAAAAGTGAAGAGATCTTCAGAGCATCCATCGCTCCTCTCAACACATCCATCTGTAGCCATCTGAGTGTTGTTGCAGCTACCCAGCAGCACCGGTGCTGGCAGCTGTGTCTGGTGGGCCAGGGATCAGGAATGCTCAAGGAGAGCATTTGGTAAGCGTCATGGTGCTTGTCCTTGTGTCATTAAATTATTGGTGGCAACAGAGGAGGGGAGTGGCTCATCAGTATTCCCTCAGGGTGCAGCCTTGCGATGCTTTGTTCCAGGGATGGCTGGGTTTGCTTGTGCTGATGGCATTTGTTTGCTCGGGCTCCCTCTGTCCCACAGATGGCAGAAGCAGCAGCCGGGAGTTCCCCTCAGCGGGAGCCTTGCAAACGCCCTGCAGAACAGAACTTGAGAGCAGGATTTGGAAGAAAGCTGTATGGCATTGGCTCATTGAGTGTCCTAAAACTGGTCTCAGTCAGAGATGTGGCTCTGAACCCGTTCAGGACCTGCAGAGAGTGTTTTGAGCTCTAGAGGCACTTCTTTGGTGGTACTGTCTGCCACACAAGCAAGACTCATTTTGCTCCAGTTTACTGGAGCGCTTCCTTGGACACTCTCCCAAGTTGTTCTACATCTTATCCAGGAAAGAAACATGTAAATCTGTCTAAAGTTCCTCTCTAAGCGTTCATAGCTCTGTGTCAGGCTTTGCTGTTAGCTGATGTTTGCATACATTGGGGCCTGGACAGTTTTTCTGCCTTAGAGCCATATCTTTTCCCAATACTTTTATTAGTCCCCTTTTGTTTTTGCAGATCTGTAGCAGAGACCACGTCAGTGATCTGTAGCGGTGTCAGGTGCAAAGGAACAGGCCAGTGAGGTTCTTATTCTCAGGAAAGGACAGTACGGTTCTGTAGCTTACAAGCCAGCTGGATGTTGTCAGAATCATAATTTTATTTCTTACCCTCTGAGGAACTTTTGGTTTGAATGTTTAAGGACATGTTCCAGTCAAGGAATATGGTTTACGTAACTCTGCTTTCCAGTCAGATGTTACAAGACAGCAAAATGAAAGCCCCAATTGAGTTTAATTAGGGTGGAAAAACAAAACTTCAGTGAGAAACACAGAACCTTAAAACTCCTTGGTGTCGTCCCTGTCAACATTGCGGAAAGGCCGTCTTACTGTAGGGCGTCGAGTCAGTCAGTAAAGCCCTGTAGATGTCAGTTTTCATTATTAGTGTGCATCGTAGCCAAAACAGAGGTGTGTCTTTGGTCCGGGCCACTCCAGCAAAGGAAACATGCTGCAGCATGGAGGGAAACAACGCCCTGAGGACTCGGCAGGGGAAGGGGGTGAGTCTGGTTGCTTGCCAGGACCTGTTCTTGGGGTTCTGCTTTTTGGAAGTGGATCTTGAGATTTCTTGATGGGCTCTGAGAGTGCAAAGTGGTTCGGTATTGCTCTTGGCATAGCTTTTGTACTTTGTGGCTGGCTGGGGACCTGGCTGAGTCTGTCAAGGGGAATGGCTGTGGTAGAAGTGACATTACCCTTGTGTATTGGAACCACTGGCCCGTGGATTGAGCCCGGCTCTGTGGCCCAGCGGGAGCTGGGTAATCCAGAACAGGAGCTCTGAATAAGAATACGCATGGACTGGCAAGCTGGTGGCCTGGTAGGGAAGCATGCTGTTGTCAAATGCAGGAGCTGAAAGTTTCAATCCTTTTTCATGATGAAAAATCAAACCTTAAATGCTGACCTCTGATACCTCTTTGCAAACGTTGTGATTGCCAGGCTTTTACCATCATGCAGCTTATCTCTCTTCTCGTGTTGTAGCAGTCCTCCTTTGTCTGTCATAAATAAGCTAGATAGTAGTACTGGTCATCAAGCATGCGATTCTGTCTTACCAACCAGGATGTGATACACCAGGATTTAAGCTTCAGCTCACCTCAACACTTGTAAATGGTGTGATGAAGCTTGCAGGTGGTTTCCTGTTAAAGGAGGAGTGGAAAGTTTGCTCTCTTGTTCAGAGTTGTTCCATGGTACTGGTAGGATGGCAGGAGGTTGTAGTTGAGTTGCCCAGCCCAATCACTGGTGATGAGCTGAGGACAGCAGGGGAGCTTCCATGATGAAGCAGGCCCAGTGTTCAGGACAGTGATGCCATCTAGCCATCTGCTACACATCTGGAGGTGCTCTGGCTACAGATTTGGATTTGTACTGTTGCCAAAAGTAGAATTTCTTGCCTGGGGTGCTGAAGATGAGATACTGAGATGATGGCACATCTGAAAGAAGTGAGACATTAGTCATGCTCCTCTCTTTCTGGCAAACATCATTGTATTAGCCAGCCCAGAGGGCATGACGCTACTCTCTGTGCACCTGAGCATGTGTGTGTGCTGACTCAACTGGAACGTTAGCAGCTGCTGCTGCAGGCCACAGGGTAGCTGAAGTTAAGTCAGTCACAAGTGTTTTCCCTTGCAGTGTGTAATGAAGTCCCCTGATCTGCTAGTGCTCTTCTATATTGTGAAATAGCCAGGGTAAGCGGATGGCTGAAAAACTTGTATAGCAGTTGCTTTTAAATGAATCTGTGGGGAAACCTCTACAGGCTTTGAGTCATGCACATACTGCAGCCTAGCCCTAAGCTGGGCATCAGACTGCTTCATAACCCTGAGTACGGAAAAGCAACTGCTAGGTAATTGCCTTGTGCTGTCTTTTGCTTGTACCTGTAGGAATCTTTTTGAAGCCAGCAAAT